ATCAATAAAAAAAAACATGTATTCATCCTTTCAATCTTTTTATAAAACTTATCGCTCAAAATCTTGGGAAAAAAAAACACGATTTCCAGATAGCCATTTATCGTTCTCTTTTTCGCATCATCATCAGCCTCTCCTTTATTCCCTCGTTTTCCTTGTTTTCTTCCACTCGTCCCTTTTTCCCCTCCCTCCCCCCCCCCCACCACCCCAAGAATATCCTTATACAACGAACGAATACATAAAAAAACACGTAATGAATAAACAAAAACAAGAACAAAAAATCAATAAATGCCTAAATAAACAAACCAAATGAAAATAAATAAGCAAAATGAAAATAAATAAATGATAAATGCACCGAAGAATTTACCCGTTAGTCGCCTTTTTCGCCGGCTCTGCACGCGGCCCGAACGAAGCCACTTTCCCCGCACTCGGACGCATCAGGCGGCTCCGACGACGACCAATAACAACATTCCCGGCGAACGCAGGAAGGAACGCATTTCGTAAAATGTCTTTACGCTAATTCGAAACGCAACGAAGCGAAACGGAAGGGATATAGATTTTTTTTCTATATATTCTTTTTCTCTCTTTCACTTCCTCTCCCTTCGCCTCTGCCTTCCTCTCTCTCTCTCTCTCTATTTATTTTTTTTTTCTTCCTCACCCTCTTCTTCTATTATTCGTTCCCTCTCCTTCTCCCTCCCTCAACCAATCCCCTCTTTCTCGCTCTCGCTCTCGCTCTCGCTCTCTCTCTCTCTCTCTCTCTCTCTCTCTCTCTCTCTCTCTCCTCTCTCTCTCTCTCTCTCTCTCTCTCTCTCTCTCTCTCTCTCTATATATATATATATATATATATATATATATATATATATATATATATATATATATATATATATATATTAATCATAAATAATGATAACTACATAAATAAAGACAACAACATGAACATAAAACTAACATCAATAACTGTAATAATAATAACAGCATCAGTAAGAACATTAATAATATAGTAATATTTAAAAAGCAATATCAATGAAACAAAAAGAGAAGGAATAAACAAACGGCCAAATTTCCCTCATTCATCGAACTACGACAAAGACAAAAAAAAAAAAAAAAAAAAAAAAAATATATATATATATATAATATATATATATATATAATTATAATAGATAAAAAGCGCTTAATACTTGCCACAAACCATCACCTTGACGACATGAGATGCAAATCCCCCCCCCCCCGTCTCCCTCTCTATCTCCATCTCTCTACTACCCCTCCTTCCCCCTTCTCTCTCCTTTTTTCATCCCCTCCTTCGAAAATCTCGTTGCAACCTCCCTTTCTTTCTCTCTCTCCCTCTCTCTCGCTCACTCTCTCTCTCTCTCTCTCTCTCTCTTCTCACTCCCTCTCTCTCCTCGCTCACTCACTCACTCACTCTCTCTCTCTCTCACTCTTCTCCTTCTCTCTCTCTCTCTCACTTCCCCTTTCGTCCTCCTCCGTCTCTCCCTATTCTCTCATTCGAACGCCCTAGAAGCTCGATCCGCCCTCAAGTTAATCAAGTTAATAAAGCTAATTAGATATCAAAGACAAGGAAACTGTATCTACTGGTAATTATCACGTGATATGTCATCATGATCTCAATATCGTCATTTAGTAGTTGATATTTATCATTATCATTGTGATGACAACACTTCCGTTGCAGTTTTGATTTGGCGGTGTGGTGATGTTTGCAAATTAGTCATAAAGCTGGTTTTAACAGGATTTCAAACAAAAAATACGACCTAATGAAAAAAAAACTCTTTTCTTTTCTTATATCAAGATAATCCGGTAAAAGTGAAAGCAAAAAAAATAAAGAAATAAAAATAAAAATAAATAAAATAAAATAAAAAGACAAAATCAGAAAAAAATACAAAGCGGAGAAAAACACACATGCTACTCGGAGAAGAAAAAAAAAATCTTTAAGCCCGTCGACCCTTAACATAATAATAAATCCCCCATTTCGGTCCCCAGCCACTCCTTAGGAATATCCTATGGAATATTCTTCATAAATCAAACATAAGCACACTTGGAAGGCAATATCCCGGAGGAGTCCATTACGAAATAATGTTATATCATCTCCTTCAATTTCTTCAGATCTTCCTTATCGCTTTGATGATCGTTCCCCTGCGAATCGGAACACGAACGCGGAGGAGGACGATAAAAAAGGGAATGAAGAGAACACGGATAAAGGAGAAAGAAAGGAAGAGGAAGAGGAGATCGCCAACAGATTAAAGTATGCTAATACGGCGGGAAAATAAAACAGGGAAACGGAAATAAACGGAAATAATATCAATACATCATTTTTTTCCTCTCTGTTTTATCGCGACGATGCATTCTGAAATCACCCGAGGATTTGCGAAAATGCCAACGAGTCCTGATTAAATAGAACGTCGTAAAAAGAACGCACAGAAAAATTACAAAAAATACAAATATACAAAAAAAAAACAAATAAATTAATAAATAGTGCATACTTTGCAAAGTTACGCCGATACTTTTTGAATTACAAAAAAATACATAAAAATATACAAAACAAATAAATAAATAAATCGTGCATACTTTGCAATGTTACACTGATACCTTTTAAATCACACACACACAAAAACACACAAAATATACAAAAACAAACAAACAAACAAATCCTGCAAAATTACACCTACACCTTTAAAATTACAAAAAAAAAAACATACAAAATACACAAAAACAAATAAATAAATCGTGCATACTTTGCAACGTTGCGCGATCCCTTTGCAATGCGGCCGATCATTCCGACGAGGCCAGGCAAGTGAGCGGCCGTGATTGCATATAAATACTCCGCCCTTATTATGTCAATAGACGCGGTCCCATTCCTGATTAATATCGCATGCCAATATTACTTTAAACCGAATACATGCGGACCGCGCAGAGTGCCGGTCCTAAAAAGAGAGAAAAAAGTATTTGGAAATTATTTTGAATATTTTTTTTCTTCTTTATCTTTTTTGGCAAAATGGGTTAAACTTTACGCGCGCGAAACTTTTTCTCCTTTTTTTTCTTAATACTTTACAAATAGTTTTATCAATATGTATGTTGCAGTGTGTATGTATTTCGAAATACGTACATGTGGACACAGTCATTACATCTGTTTAACTTTGCTTTGGCCGGCCGTAGTTGCTGTGTAGGTATGTTTAACATTATACATCTTTATTTGCACGTGCATGTGCTGTACAGTACAGCTGCACAACTGCACATTTCCATGTATCTATTTGTGTGTGTTTGTGCGCGCGCGCGCGTTTGCGTGTTTGCGTTTGGATATATGTTCGTATATTTATGTATATTGTATGTTGTGTGTGTGTGTGTGTGTGTGTGTGTGTGTGTGTGTGTGTGTGTGTGTGTGTGTGTGTGTGTGTGTGTGTGTGTGTGTGTGTGTGTGTGTGTGTGTGTGTGTGGTGTGTGTGTGTGTGTGTGGTGTGTGTGTGTGTGTGTGTGTGTGTGTGTGTGTGTGTGTGTGTGTGTGTGTGTGTGTGTGTGTGTGTGTGTGTGTGTGTGTGTGTGTGTGTGTGTGTGTGTGTGTGTGTGTGTGTGTGTGTGTGTGTGTGTGTGTGTGTGTGTGTGTGTGTGTGTGTGTGTGTGTGTGTGTGTGTGTGTGTGTGTGTGTGTGTGTGTGCTTGTGTGTGTGTGTGCTTGTGTGTGTGTATACACATATACATACATACATACATATATAATACACCCCCACCCCCACCCCACCACGCCCTCCCGCGCGCAAGGGCCGCGGGCCAGCGGGCAGCCGGAGCAGGCAAAAGTCTTGGAGCGCCCCTCTCTAGATATCAGTGTAACCCCAAAGCTTTCACCGAACCCGCCGCTCAAGTTTTGAATTTACGATTAAAAGTTTGCATTCATAACTTTAGCTCTAGGTTTACAATTCAAAGTTTGTTTTGCAATACGAGGCAGGGGGTTTACAGTCTACATGATTTGGGGTTTATGTGGAAGTGCTTCTGCTTGTTTTTTTTTTTCTTTTCTTTTCTTTTTTTCGTTATTAAAAGATACGATGATTTCGTCCTGTTCCTCTTACTGTCTTCGTCTTTTTCTTTTTTTCTTTGTTACTATTATCATTTATTGATACTCTTGTTTCGCTCTGTTCCTCTTACTACTCTTTACTTTATATTTTTCTTTGTTATCATCATCATTATTACTCTATTCCATTTCATTTTTGTTAATTGATACTCTTTATTTCGCCCTGTTCCTCCCCCTCCTCCCCCCCTCCCCCACTCTTTCGTACCCGTCAAAGTGCAAAATCGTGCCACTTACAGTTCTACATTATCACTCTCAAAAGCCCGACTGTGCAACTTAAGTAGGGACATAAGACGAAGAAGAAGAAAAAAAAGTGAGTGCAGTGTAAGAGTAAAAGGGACGAGGAATGGCACAAAAGACTGTATTCCCTCTTTGCGTCTTTCTCCTTCCTCTTCGGAGCATTTCCCTTCCTCTTATTCTCGTCTCGTCTTTGGTTCTCCCTCGATCTCTTTCTCTCTTTTTTTCTCATTCTCTATTTGTCTCTCTTTTTTCTTTTTTCTTATTTTTCCTTCTTCTATCATTCTCTCTTTATGCCTCTCCTTCTTTCTCATTCTCTCCCTTTCTCCCTCCCTCTCCCTCTTTCTGCGTCTCTCCCACCCACGCTCTCCTTTCTCCTCTTCCTCTTTATCCTCTCTCCTTTTCCCTCGCCCACTCTCTCCCTCTCCATCTTTCTCCCTCTCACTCTTTCTCCCTCTCTCCTTTTCCCCCACCCCCTCTCTTCCTCTCTCCTCCCAGCCTAACGTGCAATCGTACATTGCTCGGGAAAGCTGCTATTGCACGCCATCAGCCGTTGCTATTGGTCGCTGATAAATAGGATCTCTTTCTCCTTGCTCTGTGCAGCAGAGTGCCGCTCCCCCCCCCTTCTCCTTGGCACCGACGCACAAACGCAAATGGCACTCCGATAAGAAATCTCTACGGCGCCCATATTCTAGCCCTTCGAGGTCTGTCAGCACGGAACAGCCACGCTCTCCATTAGCATAAACACTTCCGTAATGAATTTCGGAGTGCCACTGCAAGCTCAGAGGCAGTCAGTGACACCCCCAGCGGCACTGCCATCACCATCAGTACCCGCCATCACCACACCTCCATCACCATCAATACCTGTCACCACCACGCGGCCTCCATCACCACCAGCACGAATCACCATCACCCCTTCTCCATCACCTCCCTCTCGCCCTCATTCCCACTGTGCTTTCGCTACTCATTGAACGTAGTAATTAGCCCCTCCGACAGATGGCGCAGACAGGGCCGATTTATGACATGACAAACGACGGCGTCATGCAAAAGATCATTCAAGTGGGCGGAGCCATGTGATTAACTAATTACGCCGAATGAACGAGAATGAATAATTTTAAACGGCAAGATCTGTAATTGATGTTTCGACATTACACTTTATTTCCGCCGTTAAGCGCGTTTTGTCGCGGAAATAGAATAATCAGGAGAGAATTGGGAATAACCGGAAGAAGGATCGGATGTTTAAATATAAAGAAAACACGGTTCTAATAAACGCAATGTTCGAGGCTCAATCGTCGACTATCATTCTACTCGGTAACTTATTTACATTTCCTCTCTCCTCTTTCTCTCCCTCTCCCACTCCCACCCCATTTTCTCTCCCTCTCTCCCTCCTTCTCTCCCACTCCCTATCCCTCCCTCTTTCCCTTCTATCCTTCGTCTCCCTTTCCCTCCTTCCCTCCCACTCCCTCCTTCCAATCTATCCTCCTATTCCCTTTCTTCCCTCCCTCCCTCCTTCCTCCCTCCCTCCCCTCTACCCTCCATTTCCCTCTCCCTCCTTCCTTCCTTCCTTCCTCACTCCCTTCTCCTCACACACTATAGAATACTGTTGACATTCCTCTAAAATGCGAAACAGAAATTGGAGAATGGTCGCGGCAGGACATCTGGACACTGTTGCCATAACGAGAGGATTATTTATGTGTTGATCTTGTAGCACTCCCATGGGCTGGGGGTAGGGGGGGGTAGGGGTAACAGGGGGTAGGGAGGGCACAGGGAGTCGGGAGGGGCAGGGGTAAGGGGGGTGAGGGAGGGGGGATGTGATTATGAAGAGCTTTGATATAAAAGTGAGCTTGCATATAAAAGGCTTTGGGTATTTCTGTGCTCCCTCGCAAAAGAGAGGGAGGAGAGGGAGGAGAGGAGAGAGGAGAGAGGGAGTGAGAGAGGGAGAGAGAGAGAGAGTGGAGAGAGGAGAGAGAGGGAGAGAGAGAGAGAGAGAGAGAGAGAGAGAGAGAGAGAGAGAGAGAGAGAGAGAGAGAGAGAGAGAGAGAGAGAGAGAGAGAGAGAGAGAGAGAGAGAGAGAGAGAGAGAGAGAGAGAGAAGAGAGAGCGAGAAGAAAGAAAAGGGAAACAGAAGGAAGACCAAGGGAAATAAGAGCCAAGAGTTTCAAAAATAGATAGAAGAGGGGACGCCGAGAAGATCATTTGGGTAATGAGAGGCAAATTTAATAGAGGCAGAAGAGGGCGAAGATGAACGAAGATCGTCGCGTATTTCCAAGCGGAGGGGATACGAAAACTAAGAAAAATGATATAATATATATATATATATATATATATATATATATATATATATATATATATATATATATATAATAATATATATATATATATAATATATATTAATATATTATATGTAGTGAGTATATATACATATATACTGTGTGTGTGTGTGTGTGTGTGTATATTTATACATACATATTAGTAAATATATACATGTATATACATATTGTGTGTGTGTATGTGTACATTATACATATATATATCTATCTATATATATATATATATATATATATATATATATATATATACATTTATTAGTTTATCCGTACATATAATATTTCAGCCCAAAACAAAAGAAAAAAATATGAAAGATACAGAAGCAGAAACGACTTCCACGAAAGAGAAGAAAGGAGACAAAGACGAAAATCTAGAAAGCTGAAGAAAATATACACGAGAGTTACACAAGAACTCGTCGACGAGCTGAACTTTCACAAGACGCAAAGAAAAAAGAAAAGAAAGAAGAAAAAGAAAGAAAGAAAGAAGAAAGAAAACAACAGATAAAATGGAAGAGAGAAAGATGAAAGAAAACAACGACAACAGAGAAGATGAAAGAAAGAAAGAAAGAAGAAAGAAAACAACAACAGATAAAATGAAAGAAAGAAAGAGAAAACAACAACAAAAGATAAGATGTGCAAACGAAACAAATAGATGAACGGAAGAAAATATGAACCAACGAAGTGAGTCATCATCCTAATGTCTAACCAAAAGTGCAATACAATCCTACCACCAACAGTAATGATAATGATAATGTAAATAATGATAATAATAGCAGTAACAATAATATTCATAATTTATCATCATAATAATAATAATAAATGACAACATCAACTATGATAATATTGATAATACCAAGAGCAAGCACAACATTAGTAAAAATAAAATGAAAATATTGATAATAATAATAACATTAACAATAATAGTAAAAATAATGCTAATAAAAATAACAATAATAACAAGACTGAAAATAATGATAATAATAATAATAATGATCATGATAATAATAATAATAATGATAACAATAACAATAATGACAATGATAATAATAATAATAATAATAATAATAATAATAATAATAATAATAATAATAATAATAATAATGATAATAATAAAAATTATTATTTTATAATAATAATAACAACAAGAGACATAATAATAATAATAATAACGATGATAATATTAATGATGATAATCACAGTAATAAAGTTAATAATAACAATAATAATAATAATAATAATAATAATAATAATAATAATAAAATAATAATAATAATAATACAAGGAAATCATAAAAAACAAATAACAACAGCAATATCAATGATGATGATGATAATAATAATAACAATAATAATAATAATAATAATAATAATAATAATAATAATAATAATAATAATAATAATAAATAATAATAATAAAAAAATAATAATAATGATAATAACAATCATCATGACAACAACAATAATAATCATAAGTATAATAATAATAAGTGAAAAAATATAATGATAATAACAATAATAATCATCATCATAGTAATAATAATAATAATAATAATAATAATAATAATAATAATAATAATAATAATAATAATATCAATAATAAAAATAATAATAACAACAACAACAACAGCAGCAACGACATTCATAAACAACAACAAAAGAAAAAGAAAATCAACAAACGTAACAATAACACCACGAATAACGCCTAACCCTAATCCCGCCGCTGCCGAGACGCGAGCAGGGACACCGAGCGAAGGAGGTGTCACGGCGCCCGGGAGGAGGTGAGAGGAAATGATCTCCGAGTGAGAGGAGGGAGAGCTTAATTGCCCGGGGGTGGGGGGAGGGGAGGAGGGAAAGAGGGGAGTGGGGAAAGAGGGGAGGAGGGAGAGAGAGAGGAGGGAAGAGAGGAAAGAGAGAGGAGTGAAGGGAGACGGGAGAGAGGATAGAGAGAGGAGGGAAGAGAGGAGAGAGGAGTGAAGGGAGACGGGAGAGAGAGAGAGAGGGAAGGAAGGAGAGAGGGGATGAGGAAGTGGGAGGGGAGAGGGGGGAAGAAGGAGGGAAAACGTCTTGCGAAAGAGGGATCTCCTGAGGGGTAAGATCGCGTGTTATGTCGAAGCAAGCGAAGTGGGCGGTTGAGGGGAAGAGGGAGTGAAAGAAGGGAGTGAGAAACTGACAGTGAGAGAAAAGGGGAAGAATGTGTGTTGGTGTATATATATATATATATGTGTGTGTGTATGTGAGTGTGTGTTTATATATATATATATATATATATATATATATATATATATATATATATATATATATATATATACATATACATATACATATACATATACATATACATATACATACATACATACATACATACATACATACATACATATATATATATAATATATATATATATATATATATATATATATATATATATATATATATATATATACAGAGGGGGGAGGGAGAGAGAGGAGAAAAAACAGACTGAGAGCAAAAGAGAGCGAAAGACCGAGAAAGCGAAGAGAGCGGAGAGAGTGCCAAAGAGAGCAAAGAGCGAGAGAGAGCGAAATGGAGCGAAAGAGCGCGACAGGGAAGAGAGCGCGAGCGAGCCGCCCCGCGAGCGGCCCGGCGGCGGGGCCAGACGGCAGCGGCGGCGGCGGCGGCGGGCTGGGCAAGTGACGTCCGAATGTGTGACGAAGAGTACGAGCTCGACCGGCCGGGGAGGGGGAGGGGGGCCAGGGAGGGAGGGCCATGAGGGGCGGTCCAAGTGGGCGGGGGTGGGCGAGCTGGAGGCGGGCAAGGGGCGAGCGGGGAGGCGGGCGGTCAGTGGGTGGCGGCGGGTGGGGTGGCGGGCGCGGGGATCGTGGGTGGGTGACGCGAGCCGGGAACTTAAAGCTCACAGCACGAGAGCGTTCAGGTGAGGCCGGGATTACACGCTCTCCACAAAACGCATTAAAAGAGAGAGAGATAAAGAATGAAAGAGAGAAAGAGAGAAAGAGCGAGCGAGCGAGCGAGCGAGAGAGAGAGAGAGAGAGGAGGGAGAACGAGAGGGCGAAAGAGAGGCGAGGCGAAGAGAGAGGCCGCGTAGTGTTGACGGATTCTCATGAGGGCTGCCATTACATGCTTCTGCGGGATCCATTGTCTCAACACAAAGATATCCCGGCGGCCGCACGCCCAAAAAGCGGGGGGAAGAAAAGGCGAGCAGGAGCTACACGCCCGTTTCCGGCGCGGTGGCCACAGGACTGACACAATCAAACAGTAGGTTAATTAAACGCTTTGTCACGGGGATTACCATAATGCTGTCACCCGTCAAGAACCCATTCGTGGAGGCGGAGGAGGCGGGGGGGAGGGGGAGGGGGAGAGGGGGGGGAGGGGCATCTCCAACTCTTCCGTTTCCATTCCGAATCATTCTCATCCTTCCTCCTCCCTTTTTCCTTCTCTCTCTCTCTCACCTTTTCCTCCTCCTATCCCCTTCCACCTTTTCCTCCTTCCCTATCCCCTTCCCCTATCCCTCCTCTCATCTTTCCTTCCTATCCCCCTCCTCTTCATCCCTTCCTCCATCCCTTCTCCTCCCCCCCTCCTCCTTTCCTTTCTCCGGCCCTCGCCTGAAGAATACGTTTTTAAGCGCAAGTCGCCGGCAACTGACAAAAGA